TGTACATTCATTGCCCTCATCATTCTCAAAACATTTGCTCTCCACGTAAGCCCCTGCATCAGCTCCTCATTTTCCCCCTCCCTCCCCGCTACTCCCTCCCTCATGAACCTCTGATAATTTATAAGTTATTTTGTCGTCTTATACTGTCCGATGTCACCCTTCACCCACTTTTCTGTTGTCCGTCCCCCAGGGAGATTATACGTAGATCCTTGTAATTGGTTCCCCTTCTCTACCCCACCCTCCCTCCACCCTCCCAGTATCCACTCAGCACTGGTCCTGAAGGGATTATCTGCCCTGGATTCCCTGTGTTTCCAGTTCCTCTCTGTACCTATGCACATCCTCTGGTCTAGCCAGATTTGTAAGGTAGAATTGGGATCATGATAGTGGGGGCGGGGAGGAAGCATTTAGGAACTAGAGGAAAGCTCTATGTTTCATTGTTGCTACATCGCACCCTGACTGGCTCATCTCCTCCCCGAGACCCCTCTGTTAGGGGATGTCCAGTGGCCTACATATGGGCTGTGGGTCCCCACTCCCCACCATTCAAAATGATATGATTTTTTTGTTCTTTGATGCCTAACTGATCCCTTCAACACCTCGTGATCACACAGGCTGGTGTGCTTCTTCCATGTGGGTTTTGTTGCTTCTGAGCCAGATGGCCACTTGTTTACCTTCAAGCCTTTAAGACCCCAGATGCTATATCTTTTGATAGCCGGGCATCATCAGTTTTCTTCACATTTGCTCATGTACCCGCTTTGTCTTCAGCAATCGTGTTGGGAAGGTGACATCATGGAATGCCAGGTTAATAGAATAAAGTATTCTTGCATTGAGGGAGTACTTGAGTGGAGGCCTAATGTCCATCTGCTACCTTAATACTAAATCTATAAATATATGCACATAGATCTATTTCCCCATCCTCATATATATATTTACATATGTATATGCCTTTATTTAGACCACTATAAATGCCCTTTGCCCCCTAAGTTCGTGTTTTTGTTTTTTTTAAATCATTTTATTGGGGGCTCGTACAATTCTTATCACAATCCACACATACATCCATTGTGTAAAGCAATTTGTACACTGTTGCCATCATCCTTCTCCAAACATTTGCTCTCTACTTGAGCCTTGGCATCAGCTCCTCGTTTTCCCCTCCCCTAGGCTCGTGTTTTCATGAAGCTCTGTGACGCCTCAGCCTTCGGCTTCACTCAAGGAACAAGTGGGACGAGGGACTCCTGGCCCTCTAACCATGGCTCCTGAACATATCCGACCCAAGCCACCTCTGTCCAGAAATATACATACATTACTTACTGCCACCTAGTAATGAGAAGCACTTGTACTACAGCCCATAATTCAGGTTCAAGTAGAGATCATTGTTTTTGCAGCCTCTCGGATCGGTCGAGGGTCTCCTGGGGGCAGTACTGCCCACACTGGGGAACTCACCCTCTCACTGCTATGGCGTCGATTCCGGCCCTACAGGGCAGGCTAGGACTGGCCCTGTGGGTTTTCTGAGACTGTAACTCTCCACCAGAGTAGAGCACCTTGTCCACTGTTCTAAACTCTAGAAAGTGCAAATCCTTTCACTAAGCATCTGCCATGATCCCCCTGGCTCCTCCTTGTAATGAACCCAGG